TAGGGTTACAAGGTGAGGGTCTGAGCATTATGGCGCTAGGGTCAGCTTCTTATGGTTAGACCCCTGGGGCTAGAGCGTTCGGGTCAGGGTTCGAGGGTTAGGGCATTCGGGTTAGGGTCTTCGGGTCAGGGTCCGAGGTTTAGGGTATCCGAGTTAGGGTCTGAGGGTTAAAGTCTTCGGGCTAGGGTCTTGAGGTTGGGGCAGTCGGTACAAAGGTCTTCGGGTTGGGGTCTTAGGGGCAGGGCAGTCGGGATAGAGTCTCAGGGTTCGGGCATTTGGGACAGTGTCTTCGGGTTGGGACATCAGGGTTGAGGTCTTAGGGTTCGGCCATTGGGGTTGGGGGCACCGGGTATAGGGTCTTAGGATCAAGGAAATGGGGGTAGGATCGTAGGGTGAGGGTACTAGGGTTAGCGTCTTGGGGCTAGGGTCGTCGGGTTAGGGTCTGGAGGTTCGGGTCTTAGGGTATGTGTCTTAGGTTCAGGTCATTAGTGTTAGGGTATTGGGATTATGTCTTGATGGGGTTAGGGATTTGGATCTAGGGATTTACGGCGTCCAGGAAAGGGTCTTAGGTTAGGGTCTTAGATTTGAATAGTCGGTTTTAAAGTCTTTAGGTCAGGGTCTAAGGATAGGGGCATTCGGTTTAGGGTCGTAGGGGTCATAAGTGTGGGGCATGTGGGTCAGGGTCTTCGGGTTCGGGTCTTAGGGTTAGGGCCTGAGGGTTAGGGCATTGGGGCTAGGGTCTTGGATATAGCATGTTGCTTGGGGCGTCCGGCTCATGGTCATCTGGTTAGGGTCTTCAGGTTGGGGCGTTCGGGCTAGGGACTTCGGGTCAGGGTCTTAGGGCCCCGGCAATAGGTTTCGGGTAGTAGGGTTAGGGCATCAGGTTCTGGGTCTTAGGGTTTCGTTTTTAGGGTTAGGGCATCAGGGCTAGGTCCCAGGAGTAGGGTCCTAGGGTGCGGGTCTTAGGAGTAGAGCATTAGGGTTAGGGTCGTAGGGCAAGGGTCTTAGGGTTGAGGTATTTGGGTTCGGGCCGTAGGGCTAGGGTCTTAGGGTCAGGGTCTTCGGGTTAGGGCATTAGGGTTCGGGTCTCAGGGTTAGGGTCGTAGAATTAGGGCAATAAGGTTTGGGTCTTAGTGTTAGGGTCTTAGGAATAGGGTCTTCGGAATAGGGTACTCCGGTCACGGCACCAGGCTTTGGGTCTCAGGTGTCAGGTCTTAGGGTTACGGTGCTAGGTGTATGGCATTGGGCTGAAGATCTTAGGGTTCGAGTCTTTCGGCGAGGGCATTAAGGTTGTGGTCTTCGGTTTAGGGCATGAGGCTTAGGGTATGAGGGTGAGGATACTACTTTCAAGGTATCAAGCTTACGGCTTTAGGGTTCGGGTATTAGGGATAAGGTCTTGGGATTGGGGTCCTACGGTGGGGGTGTTCGCATTAGGGTCTTAGGTATAGGACATTATGGTTAGGGTATTCGAGATGGGGTCTTAGGGTCAGGGTATGATGGGGTAGGGTCTTAGGGTGAGGGTCTTGGGTCAGTTCTTGGGTTTAGGGACGTCAAGGTAAAGGTCTTAGGGTTAGGGTCCAAGGGTTAGGGTAGTATGGCAAGGGTCGTAGGGTTAGGGAATCAGGTTTCGTGTCTGAGGGTTAGGGTCGTAGGTTTCGGGTATTAGGGTTAGCGTCTTAGGGTTAGGGTATTAGGCTTAGGGTCTTCGGGTTAGGGTCTTAGGCTGAGGATCTTACGGCTAAGTTCTTCGGATTTGGGCATTCGGGTGAAAGTCTTAGCGTCAGGGTCTGAAGTTTCCGGACGCAGGGCTAGGGTCTTCGGGTTAGGGTGCTAGGCTTAGGGTCTTAGGATTTGTGTACTAAGGTTAGGGTATTTGGACTACGGTCTTAGCGTTTGGGTCTTAAGGCTCGGCTCTCAAGGAAGGGATCCACTCGGAACCCGTTCTTGGAGCCATTTTGAGCGGGGTGTCTCCACATCCTCGCGTCGTGAAAAAATCAGGATGCGGCATTTTCGGCTGTTTTCGGCCTCCAGGGGCCCTCCACAAGCCCCGGGGCTCAAGAAACGATTCGGGATGAAAAACAATCACAGGAACTCTCCAGACCTCTGGGGGCCGACGCTGCGAAAAAACATCGCGACGCCACATGTCTGGGGAGGTCAGGCGACAACAGCTGTACATGTTCACCGAACCTGGCAGGGTCCATCCTCGGCCCAGGGTAGGCCCAGGGACCCCGGGGAGCCCTCCCCCGTGTACAGATACACGAGCTGGCACCTCCGGAGACCCCCGCAGCCTTCTTCCTCAGACCCCACTCCCCCCCCTTCCCCTCTCCTCTCAGCCCCCCCTCCCCTCGGCGGGAGCGGCCGAACAGGAAAAAAAAGCGCTCACAGGAAACAAAAAAGAAGGGTCACAGGGAAAAAAACGAGTGCAGAGATCCCTGGCACTCCTCAGATCGGCCCTCCGCACGGGCTGGGAGACCCCCCCCGCAGGAAAAAAAAGGGTGGCAGGAAAACAAGAAAGGGTCACAGGAAAAAAAAGGGCTCCATTGGAGGGCTAGCCGCAGGAAAAAAGAGGGGCAGGAAACAAAAAAGGGTTGAGGTGGGCGAACCCCACCTCCACAGAAAAAGAGCAACTGGATACAGGAAAAAACAACGCGTAGCCCAACATATAACATCAGTGAAATACCAACAGAGGGGGTTGACTCCACCAATGGAAGATGCTCCTAGACTTTGGTGATGGTGAACATGTTGCCGACCCCATAGGAGGCCCGAACGTCACCACCATCGTCGAGACGGGATCGTCTTTCCTCGGTGTAGGCGACCGCCGAGAAACGGTGCCAAGCTCAAAGCCTCCGACACTCAACGATCTTGTAGCGATCCTCGATCCTCGATCGATTCTGGATCGGTCCTCGATCCTCGACGACGGCGGCGCTCTCCTCCATCCTTGATCCTCAATCGATCTTACATCCTCGATCGATAACTACTTGATCTTCGAACGATCGATCCCCGCCCCTCGATCGACTATCCTAGAAGAAAAACTGCAGAAACATAAACTCCTGGAGCTCCGCGCGGACTTCTTAGATCTGCGCTGAACCCCCCTCCGAGGCGCGCGGACCGCGCCAGGGTCCGCGCCCGAGGCGCCGCTGAAGGGTGGGGGCCGGCGCAGATCCAAGAACTCCGCACGGACCGTCGAAGGTTCATGTAGCACACCGCAGTGGCGGATGAGAGTGATGGGGGCGGGCGCGGGGTTGGTCGCGGGGTTGGTCGCGGGTGGATCGCGGGCCGGGCTGCGGGTGGGACGACGACAACAAACACCAACAGCAACAATCCGCGTCGCGGAACACCACTTCAGCCACGCACCCAGGGACAATGAATGGCCGTTCGGCCCCCTCACTCGCATGTTTATGCCGCTCTTTCTCCTTCGATATCCTCATCCTCCATCCTCGACGGCGGCGTCGACGGCGCTGGCGGTCGCCCCCCCCCCCGCGAGCTGCGGAGGCCTCGACCACTGAGGTCGCCGCGGCGGGCCGCGCAGGCTCGCCGAGGGCGTCTGCGCAGCACCCCGCGCCTCTGCCGGGAGCTCCCCAGATCCCTCTGCCAGGGCTGCTGTCTCCCCAAAGCCTCGAGCATGTCTCCTCCCCTGAGACGAGGGCAAGATCTCGGGCGAGGATGCATCGAGAATCTCTGAGGATCCGCGGATTTGGAAGATGTATCGGGCGCCGCGGCCGTTGCAGAGCGTTCCAGAGCGCCCTAAGACCGTTCCAGAACGCTCTGGAACGGATTTATCTCGATCTCAGGCCCGCCCGACTCCCTCCCTGTCCTGTCGATGCCGATCGGTCTGCCTCACAGCTGGGGCCCTCGATCCTCCTCCTCCTCCTCCTCCTCCTCCTCCTCCTCCTCCTCCTCCTCCTCCTCCTCCTCCTCCTCCTCCTCCTCCTCCTCCTCCTCCTCCTCCTCCTCCTCCTCCTCCTCCTCCTCCTCCTCCTCCTCCTCCTCCTCCTCCTCCTCCTCCTCCTCCTCCTCCTGTTCCTCCTCCTCCTCCTCCTCCTCCCCCAGACCTGTGCCGGAGGAGGATGCGAGGCACGCAGTCTCTGCCAAGCCAACGGAAACGAAGGTGCACAAGTTTGAAGCACAACATCGGGGAGCGGAGAGATGGAGGGGATGAATAGGGGAAACACAAACGGAAAGCGAGGCGAAGGCATGGGGGAGGGAGGAGGGGCCGGCCCTAGCCGCGGAAGCCCTCCCCCGAGGAAGATGGACGAGGAAGGAGATGAAAGAGACGTGAGATGCAGGATCGAGAGTGGGGGAGGGGCAGGAGGAGGAGGAGGAGGAGGAGGATGGACGAGAAGGGCGAGGGAGGATGGGGGAGGAAAGGCGGGATTATGGAGGGGGGAACGGGGGAAGGGACAGGCAAAAAGGAGGGAAAGAAGCTGGAGAAGGGGAGGACGCCCGCACGGTTTTCCTGACGGGCGGCTGCCACGTCCCACGAATCTCTTATACGGCTCCCGCTTGCGCGTGTGCAGCGCGAGGCAGCGGAGACAGGTACAGCCAGTGCAGGGAACACCAGGACCAGCTGTAGGAACCTCAACGGCATTTTTGCAACCTGCTGTATCCTGAAACATCCCATTGCCCCGGGTATCATCGTCAACTGCCGTGTAAGAAGCCTGTCGGTGGGTTCCTGGGACCTCCAAAGGTACACACACATCGTATGGGGAACCTGTGGGCTGGCCAGTTTCTTGTTCCACGCGCGGACTGCAGCTCAGACTGCCAGAGGGCTACTACCTTGGAAAAGCATGCGGTCGTAGAAGAAGAAATAACGGCATGAACATAAACTTTTGGCTCTCCGCGCGGATTTCTTGGATCTGCGCTGGACCCACTACCTGGCGCGCGGAGCGCGCCAGGGGCGGCGCCAGAGGCGCCGCCAGGGAGGCCTAGCGCGGATCCAAAAAATCCGCGCGGAGCGCCAAACGTTTATGGTTATGCCTTTTTTTCGTCTTCGAAACTGGTCAGAAGATCATCTCTCGCCTCTTCGTCACCGTTCCAGCTACGCTGTAGCGGTGCGCCTGCTGGCAATTCCCCCACACGTCTGCCCTCGCGTTAGTGCCCCCGAAGCCGAACGACGAGACGCCCGTGAGGCCGCTGTTCTGTCCGAAGTCGACCGCCTCGGAGTCGAAATACGCTGGGAAGCCCTCCACGTCCAAGTGGGGATTCAGCGACCTTAGGGGAACAAGCAATGACATACAGCAGGAGCTCGACCACAAGAAACCTTTTACAAGAAACCCAATCCTGAGACCCCAGGATGTACATTGTTTTTTGGTATGGGAACGTCATGTATTCCATAGCAGAACCATCGAAGCCCAAGAAACCCAGGGCACCCTGGAGGCAAGTAGAATGTTTCTCGGGATGGGTTTCCACTGTGAACAGAAGATTTCGGAGGTCCGCGTGTATTTCTTCGAGCGGCACTGGAAGTCCCTCCCTGGCACACAGAGCGCGCCAGCGGCGGCGCTGGGAGCGCCGCCAAGGGGTTCCAGGTGCCGATCGGAGAAATCCGCGCGGAGCTCCGAGCAATCATGCTTGTGCTGTTGTTTGTTGTTTGTTCTTCGAAGCATGTCTATGTCTATGTCATGGCTTGCCCCCAAGACCTGCAGTGGTTGTTCGGGATGCCGACGGAAAACTGCAACATCATGCAACATTTGATGAAGCCCGCAGCTCCTGCGCCCGCCTCCAGGTGGCCCAGGCACGTCTTCGCGCTGGTGAAGAGGAGGGGGGTCTGCCGGCTCGCGTTGAAGATTCCGCGCAAGGCCCCGACTTCGATCGGGTCGCCCAAGGCGGTCCCGGTCCCGTGGCACTCCGCGATGGTGATGCCGGAGGTGTCGAGGCCGCCCTCGCGCATGGAGGCCCTGATCACCTCCTGCTGCGAAGGCCCGTGCGGGGCCGTCATGCTGGCGCTCTTGCCGTCCTGGTTCACGCACGCCCCGACCAGCACACACATGCGGCCAGACGCGGCGATGCTGCTGTCGCACAGCTTCATCTTGATCCCACCGATGCCCTCACCGCGAGCATACCCATCCGCCGTATTGTCGAACGTGAAACAGCGTCCCTGAGGCGACAACATGCCTGGCCCGCTAAGGGCGATGTACGACTTGGTGCCGATGATGGTGTTGGTCCCCAAGACGAGACCGTGCTCGACGTGGGAATCGATGTGGGGCGTGCCCTGTCCCTTCTCCGGCAGCTGGAGCCGCATGCTCTGCTGGCACATCCCGAGGGCCACCAGGGAGGAGGAGCACGCCGTCTCGGCAGTGAAGACGGGCCCCACCATGCCCATGATGTGCGACAGCCGGCACGACGCGACCGAGCGCTCGCGCCCCGCCTTGTAGCTCTGCAGGAGGTCGGTGGGCCGCGCCAACTCCTCCCAGTCGGAGCCGGAGTCGCCAACGAAGACACCGCAGCTGAAGCCCCGCAGGTCGTCCCTCTTGTACTCGGCGCGGGTGAGGCATTCGTAGCCGACCTCCAGCAAGCATCGCTGGTAGGGGGCCATGATGCTGGCCTCGGCATCGGAGATGCCGAAGAAAGCGTTGTCGAAACACTCTATCTCCGCCTGCTGCAGCATCCCGCCGTGCTTCTGGTGGGAGTATCCGATGGTGTGTTCCGCTTTGTAGTAGATGTCGATATCCCACCTGCAGATAGGTACTTCCAACTGCCCATCCGTGGACGCGAAGAACATGTTCCAGTATGCGCGCGGGTCGTGCCCGCAACCAGGGTAACGCGTCATGACAGACATGATGTTGCTCCTGGTGCCCATGGGCTCCTCGGGGCCGTCGATCACCCTGAGCTGCTCCTCCTTCTCCTGGATGTCGCGGGGCACGTCTAACACCCAGGACTGGAGGGCCAGGTTCTCGCCCAGGGGCTTGTAGCTGAAGGAGAAGCCCTGGTAATCGCAGCGGAAGATCACCAACTGGTTCTTTGAGAGTGGGATGACCGTCTCCTCGAAGTCGTAGGCCTCGCTCTTTGGTGTGAGCTCCAGGCTCCCGCCGCCGCTGTTGACCACATAGAACAGGCACAGCCTCTTCGAGGCCACGAACTGCGTGTGGGTCTCCGCCCCGTTGCCGGGGTCCACGTCTACGGGCGTCGACCTCACATGGTGCTCCTCGCCTGGCTCTACGCTCGCACGGACGAGCGGGTTCGTGCGCCCCCAGGAGACGAAGGCCTTGTCCCCCTCGAACTCGGGCGTCAGTGGCCACATTGATGCGGCCATGACCGTCAGCGCCTTGTCGCAGTACGCCAGGCCATCTAGATGATCAAGCGTCATGTCAGAGCCGAACTCCTCCACGTCGTATGCCCTCATGCCGGTCGTTTCAACACCAATTTCATCCGGAGACTCGTACTGCAACCAACAGACCTTGCTGGTATCAGCCCCAGTTCCGAGATACTCCTCCTCGACGTCGTCCCTCAACGCCCCAAACTGCAAAGTTTTCGCGTACTCCACGGCGTTCTCGACACCATGATCTCCCAGCATCATCTGGATGACGCAAACACCTTTGGACTTGATGTTCTCGGAGACCATCGAGGAGAATATTCCGAACGACGTGGGGCCATGAGGCCAGGCTACGTCGAAACCTCCATCCCGTGGATCAGCAGGATCATACTCGATCAACTTGTCCTCGTGAAGGGACAGCACGTGGCCGCTGAAAGTCTGCACCAAATACTTGCCAGCGTCCTCGTCCCAACCGACAACTCGGCCTCGCTCGCCGTTCACTTCAAACGGCTCCACACCGTGACCGTACAGGTGCGAGTCAGGTTCATAGAGCTCCTCCATGCCGCTCACTTCCACCAACACACCTTCAAGCGGCCGGAGCTCTCGAGCTGCGTCATACTCACCCACCTGCATGAGCGCCATTGGCGCGCGCGTGCAGTCGCTGAACCCAAGGGGGTCCACCCTGCAGGACGGAGGAAACAAATTCAAGACCAAATGTCGACTGAGCACTTGGTGATTATGGGCAGGATGAGGGAGCCAGAGAGATAACGAGGCAGAGAGGGAGCCGAAACGCCTCCCCCCGAGAGGCCTCCGGGTGGCCCTAAGAGGCCCCTGGCGTTGTTCCAGTGGTGCCCGAGGTGGCCACCCAAGCCTCAAGAGATGCGCTTGGGGTCGCCCGAATGCTGCCGAAGTCGCCCTTCAGATCTCCTCTCCTCACCTTTTGTTTTTCTCCGGCGAGCCTCTCGAATCGCAGATCCGCCACCGTCCCGTACGCACTGAGGGGGGTCCTCGGGTTCCTTCGGGGGTTATATGTACTGAATTCGGAAAGTGCTCTTTATGGGGCCTAGGGGCCCGATTGCAAGGCGCTCTCGCGCGTTCCTGATGGCTTGTCACATCAAAGTGGCGCAAACATTAGGGGAACGCTTGCTACGAAACGCTGCTCGGCATTGCTTGGACTTGCATTGCCTTGCTTGGCATTGCATTGTCATGCATTGCTTTGCGTTGCTTGGTGCTGTTTGGCCCGAGGAAGATGGGCCTGCCCAAATAGTATGCACACATGAAAAGCGCCCCCTGCCCCCCACATGAGGAACTTTAGACTTTAGACCAATGGGGCCGTCAAACGACGCGCGAACTGAGAGCGGAAACTGCTCGGCGGTCAACCAGCGACAACGCCGCGACATTCAATGCGAACGGCGCGCTGCTGCCGTAATCGTTGGCGTTCGAACTGGCGTTTCTTTGTGCTGGCACGCGGTCGATACCCAAAACCATTGTGGACATTCGCGCGCCCACGCAAGGGAAAAAACCTATGGGCGCGTCGGCCGTTGGCGGCGCTGGCAAGAGCCCCGCGCGGCGCCCGGGGCCCGCCCTGCACGGGCGCGCATCGAACAATTTAGATCCACCCCAAAAACAAAATTTGGGCACCAGGCGAACAATGTTTATTCAAACTCCATATGACATCAATTTAAACTTTTCCGAAGCAGAAGGTCTCGCGCGGGAGAGCCTCGCAACATTTATATAAACAGAACAACGTGTTTATATAAACGCAAAAAGAAAACGTTATATTGGCCCAGTTGCCTTAAGAGAAACGCTGCCGATCTAAACTTTTCTGCCAGCGGAAACAGGAGGGGGCGACGGAGGCTGGCGCAGGGGCCCTCGGCTGGGCCAGCGGCGCTGCCGCGCGAGGGACAGCGCCGCCGTCGCCTCAAACTGCGAGCAGCGGCCGTGGCACGCGCCGCCCTGGGGACGCTGGCGCGGGCGCGGCCGCGTCGAGCGGGCCCACGACGTCGCCGCGCGCGCGGGGCCCCCCTGCGGCAGCTGGCAATGGTCTCGCCGACAAGGCGCCTACACTTACGCTCATTCGCCGTAAACGCAAAACGCTGAGGTGTAAAATCAATGGTTATGGGGGCTGGGGTCGGTTTCCCACTGTTCATGATAAAGAAACGAAGCCAAAGGGACCTGGGGAACCCAAAGAAGCCCGAGAAACGCGAGAAGGGCTGGCAACAATGAGAACATCAGACCAGATGGCCCCGGGGAGACCCAAGGAACCCCACTGTAGACGAACACAACTGGGGAACCCTGGGCACCCCCGTCTCGCCATCGCTCGGACGCTTCCTCGCCTACGAAACATGCAAACGTTCGAGCGATACCAAACCTTTGTAAGAGAGGCAAGCCGGAGAATCCCTGGGCGCGACCGTGTCTGGCACTCACCAGGTTTTTAAAGAACAAGGGAGGACCTCTGAGGCACAGCCTAATTTTGAGGAGTGCTTCGTCCCATGGTTTGGGAGCGCCCCTCGAGGGGCAGGAGGAGGAGGAGGAGAAGGAGGAGGAGGAGGAGGAGGAGGAGGAGGAGGGTGGAGGAGGGTGGAAGTTTCGCCCGCCGCGGGGAGATCACGAAGTGGTCCCATGAGCCCTCGAGTGCCAGCATGGCCCCCGAGACCGCCAAGATTCTTCTGAAAGGCCCCCCGAGGCTCCCACGAGGCCTCCAAGAGGCATCCCCCGATGTTTCAATGGACATGCGCGTCCCCCTATGCGCAAAATCACTACTCGCAAATGGCCTGAATCCGCCGCGGTGGATCTATGATAGATTCCATAGAGGCAAACGTATGTACGTTTGCGAGTAGGCACTTCGCGAGTAGCGAACCGCGCCCAGTGATTCAACAGGCATCGAATAGGACACTGGCCTAGAAACCAGGCGCGGAGGCGGGATGCGACGAACACCACTAGATCACAGCACTCAGCACGACAGATCTGCCGAGCCGCAGCACGGCTCGCCCTCAGGGTAGTCCTTTTACCGGCGGCCGCCTGGACACCGACACTGACCTCGCTCACCTTTCTGACAGCCCAGACACAAGCCGAGCCACCGAAGGATGCGTCGAGCGCAAGGAGGGGAACAAAGAGAGGGAGAGCGTCCGAGGCCGGAATCTTTACATATGCACCACCTGCCGAACCGATGTCTCAAGGCCCGGAGGGCAATGGATATGGGATATGGGATATGGATACCTTTGGGCCCCACATGGGGCCCGAGAGTGTCCATACCATCGCCTCCTGGGGCCCTGGGACTGCGATTTCCCCTGGTGGTGAGAATGTGCAAACTCCAGCCTCGGACGAAGCGCATGCCACCATGTTGATGCCAATCACATACCTCGCCTGCCCAGACATCCAATGTCTTGAATTTTCAATGCTGGGTTCTCCTGTAGAGGGACATGCCCGACCTAAGTCTACCTCCTCCGTTCTTGCCCCGCCCTTCCCCGGCCAGGGTGGCTGGCTGGGGCCGCTATAGTGTCTGGCCGCCCGGCATGGCGGGGTATTTCCAGTGCTGTCCCGGAGCTCTGACCTCCACACCCGGTGGCCCCCCTACAGGGGGGGAACCCCAATTGGCGCTGCGGGGCATGACGCTTCCTTTGAGCAGGGACCGACCGTCCCGGCATTCCTACATGCCTACCACGAACTGTTCTCATAATCTTAAAATGTTATGAGAACGAAACCAATGTTCTTAGAACATAAGCCCGACGTGTTAGAACAGGACAGTCTCAGCCGGACATGTTCTAATTCGCCGGCCCAACGGGCCAGAGGCGTGCTAAGATCTCCGGTGACTGCTTTACAATATTCTTCTTCGCGCGCGCGGGGCGGCCCCTGGGGGTCTCCCCACGAAAAGTACCCCGGCAGGGTCCCGGGAGACTCCCGGGAGGGTCCCGGGAGGTTCCCGTCAGAGATGTTCTCCCTCCTGGGTGCCGCCCTCGAGGTCCTCCAGAGAGCCTCCAGACGCCCCAAAACGCCCCCAAGATGCTACAAGAGGGCTCCGAGATGCCACAAGATCGCTCCAAGACGCTCCATATGGCGCCCAAACGCCCCAGGAGGCCTCCAAGAGCACTCCCAAGAGGGCCCCAATAGGCAAAATTCATTGCTTTTCCTTAAGTTTTGGTGAGATTTTGGTATTCCCACCCTTTCCGCTTTCCAACGCCCGACGACGGCCCAAGAGGCCCCCAAGACCGCTTCAAGAGTGCCCAAGAGCCCCCCACAAGGGCCTTACGACGAGCCAAGATGGCCCCAAAACGGCCCCAGAGGGCCCCAAGACGGCCCAAGAGGGCCCCAAGAACGCCCCAAGAGCGGCCCCAGGGGGGGAACACGACACAACATGTCCAGCCCTCGGCCCTAAGAAGCCCCCAGGAGGACCCCAGAGGCCCCTGAGAGGTCCCAAGAGGCCCCAAGAGGCCCCCACGAGGCCCTCAGGAGGCCCCCAAGAGTCCCCCAAGCGGCCCCAGGAGGCCCCCCAAATGCCCCCCCGAGCGCCCCAGGAGTCCCCCAAGCGGCCCCAGGAACCCCCAAAGCGCCGCATTGACACCAAGCCCTCGGGCAAACAGCAGACATGAGACTGTATGGGCCGGCGGAATGAGCGAAGCGATTAAATAATATTTCGCGCAGACCACATAAGGTTCTTAGATTCTTTGGTGGGCCTCTAGGCAGGCCAGGACGCTTCGCCACTGCTTGATTCCTCCCGCCCCAGTCGATCCGCCCCCCTCCTCCCCTCCCGGCTGCACGCAAGAAGAGCGACCCTAGGCAAGAGTGGCCTTTGGTGTGCGGCTCTCGGGGAGCCGCGGGGGGAGTCAAACCCAGGCGCGCAAGACGCCACCGTCGCATCGCAGGTGGCGATCGGGGCACCCCTGTGGGCCCGCACCAAAGGTCCCTCCAGCGAAGGGTCACTCTTACGTTGGGTCGGGCATGTCCTCCTACAGGCGGATTTGGGACGAAAAATCGCATTTGGTCAAAACATGAGCAGACATAGGCAAAGGAGCAACAAAAAACAATCCCCAAACTATTTCTTTACTATTCTAGAACATGCCTCCTGTAGAGGGACACGCTCGACTTACTCCTGTGGGCCCGCACCATAGGTCAAACCGGCGAAGGGTGCGTTCTGACCAGAATTTCAAGACGAATCCAGCGGTGGCGACGAGGGCCTCCCAGGATGCCCAAAAATGGGAAAATCGAGGCAAGGGTAGCGGTATGGGTACCTTCTCTGCAAGACGCCACCGTCGCATCGCAGGCGGCGATCGGGGGTCCCCTGTGGGCCCGCACCAAGGGTCACTCCGGCGCAGGGTCACTCTTACGTTTGAGCAGGGACCGACCGTCCTGGCATTCCTATAGGCCTACCACGAATGTTCTTAGAAACCAATCTTCTAGCAACAAAAGCAACGTTCTTAGAACATGAAGCCGATTGGTTAGAACATGACAGTCCCAGCCAGACATGTTCTGAGAGCACCTCGTGCAAGCCACACAAAATGTTCTTAGAGCACTCTGTGGTGGGCCTATGGGCAAGCCAGGAACCCTCGCCACTGCTTGATTTGTCGATGGAGGCCTCCTAGATGGGGTCGAGTGAGTACATGGGGTCGAGGGGCCGCGCTACATCGCCGATACATCGCCGATGT